ACTCACCAACAGATTTCGTTTCCACGCGAACAGCAGTAGAGTTAGGGCCCTTGCCTCGAGCGTTCTCTCCTCCAACAAGGACGAGGTACCATCTCCAGGGGGATAACCCACGTATTGTGAAGGATGTGGTGGAGTTATCCACCCTCTCTCGGCCCAGCGGCACAGATTCGTTGTTCATATAGACAAGGTGATAAAACAGAATAGGTCCATTTTGAGCTAAAACAGGGATAGGCTGGGGATGAGATAAAGTAACAAATTATGTGAGTTGTGCTATTAATTGGTTATTCATATTTTTGTATTAAAAAATTACTATTGTAGGTGCTGTGGGATTGAGATAAAGTGACAGATTACACGAGTTGTGCTTTTTAGTTATTCCCATATTTAAATAAAAAATTGGAGGTGTTTTGTGTTAGCTAAAACGGGGAAAGAGACTGGGGATGAGATAAAGCAAGAGATTTTGTAAGTTGTGCTATTTTGTTATTTACATTTTGAAATTTTAAAAGTTGATGGGGTTTTGTGTTTGCTAAAACCGAGGTAGGCTAAGAATGAGATAAAGAAACAAATTATGTAAATTGTGCTCTTCGGTTATTCATATTTTGGCATTTAAAAAATTGTAAGTAGTTTTGGGTTTTTTTGGTTGTTTTTTTTTTTTTTGGGGGGGGGGGGGTTGTTGGGTTTTTTTACTCCACCCATTGACACAGTTCAGATCAATAAGGAGGCTGGCTTCAATACTGCCTGTCAGGGACAACCTGAGCTGAGAGGGACACAAAATCACAGCAGATAGACCGAGATGCTGGCCAAGAATTATCCCCTGCTCTTCGCTCTCTATCGTTGGTGTGGCAAACAACCCATTTAAGGATGGACTCTTTACACTAGAGACAAAAGAAAAGCTAGTTTTTGTTGCGTGGTTCCTGAGGAATCATGAAAAGGAAGAAGATTGTAAGCCTTGACCATAGCAATAAACTGCTTTTAGGTCATGCTGAAAGATGCATCTTTGACAGAGCTTTGGAAGGGTGTAAAAATCGAAAATTCTCAAAATTTGGACTTACAGGATCGCTTACGACAGGGACGCTATAAAACTTCAAAGGCTGCTGCTCACAAATTAAGGACAAAATGCTTGTCTCACTAGAGACGACTGTGTGCACACACCCTTGCCCTTCATTCGATTGTTAACGACCAGGACAAATTTTTCCCTGAGACAAGTAAAGATTGTCTTTGTTATTGTCAAATAGAGTCAAATGGTGCACTCCATGGAGAACCAAAATTACATCAGAGTGCATCATCATCCAGTGCCAAATCTGCGGCAGACTTCGGCGATCATGGTTCTCCATTCATTCCTTTGCTCGAATGCTCTCAAAAAAGCTACGTTTCCCTGATCTTTCCCTGTTACCCATTTGTTTGGGTTCCCTAAGTAGGTTGTTCTGGGCCTACCCTTGCCTCGTTTGCCTTCAATTTTGCCAGTGAGAGCTAGATGTTCAAGACCCTTATGTCTATTCAGACGTCCCAGAAACTGCATTTGACGTTTCCTGATTGTTCAGAGTGCATAGTCTTGGATATCAAAATACAAATCTATGGTATGACATAGCAGCCTGTAACTGTTAATGACCCACCTGCCAGGTAACTGTAACAGAGTACGGGTCAACAGCAACCGCAGACACATCTTGGGGTGGTAGCAACGGGGCTGTGGGAAAAGTCGAAAAAATGAGAGGTGGGGGTGGGGGTGGTGGAATACTTTAGTTTTATGGCACTTGCAGCACAATAAGGTCATATAAGTGCTGGAAAATAAATGTGTTACAAGACAGTAACATACACAAAAAAGAAGGAGAGCTAAGGACGCTAGATGTTGGATAGGAAAGAAGGAGCAAACCACACAAGAGCACCCATCAACCACCCACAAGAATACTTTTAGGAAGTGGTTACACAATAAATAAGCCTCAAAAGTAACCATTTTTAAATACTATTTTGAGTTGTTTTTGTAACTATTTTAAAGCCCTGTTGTATTGGTAATCAATGGGAAGACATTCAAAGAGTCAGAAAGTGTTATTAATTTTAGTCTGATTCTAGAAAGTGTTAATAGAGTAATTACACCTCCAGAAAATATTAATGGAATCATTATGCTTCTAAAGTAGCCTTTCTTTTTTATTTTAACCCTATCCGTACGCACTGGGGTCATTTTGTACTCCCAGGGTTGTATTCTTCGCATTTTAAAATACTTCTAGTACGAAGATATCTTTGAAACTTTCAGTATTTCTCAAAAAATCATTTTGACAGACTGCTATGCAAAGCATATGGACAGGATTAACAAGTAAATTTCCTCTTTGAAAGTGGTGGCACAGAGTTCCCCAAGTCGTATGGATACGATAGTAAAACACAACGTAGGGATAGGGTTAAGGAGGTTTTCTTGGCTCAATTTTCCCGTCTAAAAACAACCCATTCTGTTGCCAATCATTTAGGAATGCAACCCACCCCCAACCACCACCCCCTTCTCCTCCCCCTCCCC